GATGCAAATATGTGTGTGTGCTTGTGTGTGTGCATGTGTGTGTGTGTGTGTGTGTGTGCACACCTGTGTGTGTTTTCTTTGGCCAATTATTAGCCTTTGGAAAAAGTATTTCTATCATACTTAACTGTGTGTGTTTTGTTTGGCCAATCATTAGCCTTTGGAAAAAGTATTTCTATCATACTTAAAACTGTGTGACAATTTCAACTTGAATTCATTGTAAATGAAAAATTAAGGCATAGTGAATCAATTGAGCTCCAGTTCGGCCATAGCATTTACTGTATTTTCTCATTAGTCTGATCACCCCCTTTGAAATACCTACTATTTTGCCTGCTGTGGCTTTATTTTATGAAACCATTCTGATTAATTTGAACAACTGCATTGCTTTCATTGTGATGAGTATTCATTTTATCAGATCTGTTTCTATTGTAAAAAGATGATGTATTTGGCTTGAGGCATATCACAGTATCTGAGATGTTCAGATATTCATGGAAATGTTCTACTATAAGGTCTCCCATTCTCAATTGATTGTTTCCTTCTTTCCTCTACAATACGATTTACTTCCCTTTCCTTCCCTTCCTACTTCCACCTTTCTTCTGATCTTTATCACCTGGTTCTTTTCACTGACATATTTCCCTTGACTTGACCTACATATTGATCCTAGTCACCTCCCTAAAACCCCACTAGGCTTATCCAAGTCCTCAATTCCTCTGTTTGAGGCCAGTGTCCCCACAAGTTGTTGCCTGGGAGAGACATCAAGGCTGTAAACCTTCCTTTGGCGGTCGTTCCTGTTGGAAAGATTCTCACATGTGTAAATCTTTTGGTACAAATATTGTAGACAGTGTGAGTGATCTGCCTCGGGTCCAGAGACATCACAGGGACCACCCCATGTGGGACTTTTCCGGTTCCTCCCATAATATTTCAACTCACTGAAAATGAACACTGAAAGCCACCCTGAAGAAGTAAAGAAAAAAAAGAGGTATCATAAAAGGGCAGCATGAGAGAAAAGGTTGAGATGAGGTGAGCAGGCAGCCAGCTACAGGAGTACTAGGAAAGCCTCATTTGCCAACTTCTCAGGTGTTTTCCTACGATTACTGCTTACGCCAAGATCCCGTATTTTACTCACTGCACTTCTCATTCACTGCAGTCATTTCATAGTTGACTTGGAGAGGAGTAAAGGAGGATGAAGTTAAAAGACTGCTATGTCACGTAACTCAATAATGATGGAACATAATCATGTTTAATCAAGAAAGATACATATTCATAGTTAATCAAGGAAGATAATTAATATGCAAAATATATTTTGATTAAAAGTTAAGGTAGAAGAGAAAACAAATTTCCTGCCAGCTCACTCTCATCACCACCACCATTCCACCAAAAAGAAGTCATAGAGCACTCTCTGAAGTACTTAAATTTAAGTAGCTAAGGACAAGGTAGTGCACCACATATTCTAACCCAGCTTACCATCCATCAGTGCAAAGTTTCTCTGCATTGATGTTAAGGACAAAACCCTAGGTCCAAGTTAAGATGTACTTTGCTTTCCTTTGCAATTGCTCTCAAGCTCATCAATATTAAGGAATTTTATGAGAGGGATACTTGTAATCTGAAGTAGGATTTATATTGTCTTGGACCCTCCAGACGTAATGTCATCACACAGCACCCAATAGCCTACTCACTCCAATATTCAAGGCTACCATAATTGTTAGCAGATTCATTTATCCAATTGGCTAAACCATTATTGGCCAGAAATCATGGCCCAGACGATGGCGGGCCATATAGGAGGGAACCAGGGGGATTCTGCCAAATCCTGATCTCAAGTGCCTGGGGCTAGGGAGACCTGGACAGCCATGAGAGTCCTGGAAACCTTGGTACTGGTAAACTTTTTCAAGGAGGCTAAAAGAGAAGAGAGAGAACTCAAGAGTTCTGCTTTGTAGTTGTGTCTGCAGAGCTATGCTCACACTACCTGCGAGGAAGATGAGGTGTGTTTTGGGGGTTTGTTTGTTAATTTGCTTGGTTTAAGTTCCAGTCCATTGTGAACTGATACTTGATATAATACAACACGAATAGAAAAGTTAAATTAAAAACAAAAGCATGCAAAATGCATGTCCTATTTAATGATTAGATTGAACAGACACTAAATTACATTTCATTAAATAAAATAAATTAGGATTGAGCTTCTAAGCTCTGACTCTCAATCTCTGCCTATTTTTGCCCCAGATGGGTAAAAAACAGGTTACAGACTGGCACAGGTCTATAGGTTATGGTTTCAGTGACACAACTGTAAGAGGGTGTGGCTGATGAATGTGATAAAGCAGGTGTCTGGGCTGGTAAAGAAAGGCAGCCCAATGGAGAGAAGCACACATGGCCTTTGGCGCTTCCAGACAGCTGTCCTTCCAAAGGGTCTTCCAAAACACAGCAGGGCCAAGAGAGAGAGGAGAGATGGAGGGAAACCAAAAACCTGTGCTCAAAAGCAGCATCTCTAAGAGCAGCTAATAAGGACAGCTGAACATAACACGCAACAACAAGGCCTCCCGACGTGTGAAGCCAGTCTTGTGCTGAGCACCGCAGCCTCACACTTGCTCAGCCCAGCACAGCTGCTACAAACGCCATCCAAAGCAAACAGGCTCTCTCCACAGCAGACTCAACAGAACAAAATCCAACACCCAGAAATAAATTAGATGTGGAGCTCATTGTGTTACACAGCCCACTGTTCTCAAATCCAGGATCCTAAGTATAATAACAAATGATACTATTAACCAGTGCATTGGACTAAAGCCAAAACCAAGGAACTCATTACTATAAACCAACATGATTCTCAGAATTTTCCAGGTCAGCTACAAGAAAGAGTTATGAGACTGTCCTTCCAAGTGAACTAAATCTCACCCATGTCTAATTGCAGTGCATATGACTAAATCCTTTTCCCCTGGTCACAGCTAGCTTGCCTCTTTAGAGCATCTAAGCCCCAGAGACTTTTCAAAACAGGGCAGGTACGTAGTCGGGTTGAAAGCAACATGAAGCCTGGAGCCAGCACTTAAGGGCTTAAAAACTGATTCTGCCACCTGCTAGCTCAGTCATTTCCAGCAAAACTATCCACAAGACTAATGACAACTGCCTCTGTGGAGATACAGTTGAAAATGCTTAGCAATTTGTTAAAAGCTATGTGGATGTTGCCACACAAAAATAAGGAGGGAGTGATGTTTTTAACCATGCCTCCCTTCCACCCATCGGAAATGAAGCTTTGTCATCTACACAGTTCATTTCTTCCTCTTAGTTCAAATCACTTCCACATGTCACACATTATTTTCCTTATGTTCCCAACATCACTGGGATATAGTAGGGAACTGGTGTCATCCTGTCATCTTTATAGCTTGGAAAACTGGCACACAGGGATCCACCTAAAGTACATCAACAGTGACAAAGATGACTTGAAAATTCACAGGGACATTTGACTGAAACTAACAAGTTTGGTTTAAGTTTGTGGCTTTTCTTAATCCAGCTCCTCCTTGTCTCACCCACAGTTCTCTGTGACAGGAAGTCATTACTCTGCATTGGTTTTGTTAATTCTGCTTACTTAATATGCAAGAAAGCTTTACTGTTGCCGTATCCTTGTTAAGTGAAAACAGGATATTTTTCAAATTCTGTGCTTTGGTAGTGTATTTATTAATATACAAGTAATTTCAGGTCAGGCAAATGATTTGGTCCAGGTTGTATGCTGTAACATTAGGCAAATTACTTAGCCTTCCTGAGCCTATTTCTTCATTTGTAACATAATAGTTGTCCTGCCTTCCTCACAGACAGAAGACATGAAAAAATATAAATGATCATGTAAAAAGAATTTTGGAAATAATTAAAGGCACTTATCAAATTACAATGCATAATATATAATTACAATATTGTTTATTATTATTCCTACTGTCTTATGCTAGAAAACAACAATTTGGTAGTAGTCTTTTGCAGTCCACCAAGAGTAATAGCCCTGGATTTCAATTTTTCTTTATTAAAAAAATAGAAGATAGGATGTAAAGATCTTAGAATAAAGAAAGTAAGTACTGTTAATTCAAGGTAATTTGGTCAATATTGGAAAGTAATTGAGTTTCTGGTGCCTGATTTTTCTATTTGTACTCTGTGTTGTATAATACCTGCACTATTAATCAGCACCTAGCAAAATTAGAATCTCAAAGATTCGTAAGTCTAATATCTCTTGTAGTGAAGGAGAAAGTACTATAGAAAGCCTAGCAATGCATTATCATCTGTTACTGGGGAGAATGACGAAATGTAGTCCTTGATTTTTTAAATACATTATTATTAAGCCCTGGATAAACACATGGTCATTTTCAATTAAAAAAATGAATAAAAGAGAAACTCAAAATTTAAAAATATGTTGCCAATGTTCCCTTTAATACATTATGAAGTCTCCTGAAAATATAACTAAAATTTAACCAAATGTGGTCAAATTTAGAGAAAATGGCATGACTAGGAATAAGTTTGTTTTGAAGCATATGGGTTTCTCTGGGTGACATTCAGGCTTTAGCAAAGCCTTATTGTAACACAACCATTATTTGTGCAAGGTTCTATGTCTTTCTACTTAATAAATCTATGTCCAAATGACAAAGAGAAACTAAATGTGATAGGCACCATTTTCTGCCAGGAAAAATTGTAAGTATTGCTTTAGAACCCTGTCTGCAACTTAATTTATTTCTATGGCTTGAATATTTTTTATTCTTGCATCATTCATAACATGAGTGTTCATACAGATATTGAAGGTGGTTAACTCTAGGAATGAATTCTTTATTGCACACGGAACTCCCCCAAAAGTGCTAAAAGCACAGACCTGAAACTCCCCAAACTGATATACCCCTTTAGACTTCGGTGTGAAAATCCTTACCTCTAGAACATTTGTGGTGAACAAGTTAAAACTTGCGAGATCAAAACTTAGTCTTCAGAATCTTCTTCCTTTACCGATAGAGTATTTCTTCTGTGTTTCTTAAATCTAAGCCATTAAAATGACCGAGTTCTCTTCTTTGTCTCTCTTTTTCCTAATAGCTGGAGCTTGTCTGACTCCAGAGTGTAAGTATCTTCTGTGCCTACCAAATGTGAGCATTAAATGAATTTCTAGCGATTGTATTGTTACAGTATAAATGAAAATTATTTTGCATAACCATGTCTATTCCTCTCACCTGTAATGTGTTATACAATTGTTCATCAGTAAAATTATAACTATTAGGTGATTGTAGGATTATTTTTAAATCTTTGATAATGATATCATGATTGTCGAAAGAAGAGTTACATGAAATTATCTGCTTAGATCTCTAATGTTAAATCTTTCGATTTTCTTTTGTAGGTTTCAACATGGAGATAATTGGAGGGAAAGAAGTGTCACCTCATTCCAGGCCGTTTATGGCTTCCCTCCAGTATGGCGGCAATCACGTTTGCGGAGGAGTCCTGATCCATCCTCAGTGGGTGCTGACAGCAGCCCACTGCCGCAATCAGTGAGTCATTGCACTTTCTGCTTTTTTTCCATGTTTTTCCTCAAGTTGATGAGAAGAGAAGCTCACCTCTCCCAGGAGAGAATTTGATCTACCAGTAGCTTCTGTGATAACCAACCAACTGGTGGAATTTGCACATCCATGTTTTCTGCCCTGAATTTTCCTTTTCAGAAAGGGAGAGCTGGCCTACCTTTCCCATGAAGCCATTAGACAAATTCAAGCCCACTGTGTAATGCGTCAACAGTAATAATGGAAGCAGCAGTATTCCTGACCTTATTAGGTCATACTTCTCATGAGAAAATCAGACAACCTGAGTTTGCACCTCCACTTCTCCATTTTACACATGGGCAGTGATAATAGTAGTACTTGCTTCATGGGATTTTGATGATTAAATTGTATTCTTATAAATATTTGAATATGCTGAGCACATAGTAAATACAAATAAGTAACAGCTAGCCGTAGTAGTAGTAGTAAGAGAAACTTGCTTTGCTAATGGATTTTTAGACTCCTTACATTAACTCTTCTGCCCCCTTTCCCAGCCTAGAAGTGAGGCCCATAGTTGGGAATCACAGCTGTAGTGGGCAACAACCTACCCAGGTGAGAAAAAAAAGTTATAGATGATTTACACACACATACACACATATACACAGAGTTCTTTTTCTGAGATACTTAAAATAAAAGCTTTTCTGAAGATAGACTATGACCTCTCAAAGTCCATTTCAGGCTGTGATTCTCTTACTTCAGCTTAAAAAATCTAAAACTCTTCTTGGGATTCTGCAACCATCACAAAAATTTAGTGTTTTTGTTGTTGTTGTTGGAGTTTGGGGGGTTGTTTTTGTTTGTTTGTATGTTTTCTTCCTTATGATTCTTACATGAATAAGCTGTAAAGAGACAGGGCCTCCTTCTCCTTTCCTTATAAGCATCACAGCATTTCACTTAAGAAGCTCTTAGCCATAATGCTTTGTTCTCTGAGCATCAGCTATACCTAAATGGAACAACTGAATTGACTCGCTTCTCCAGGTTTGGTGGGGCGGCAGGAGCGGGGGTGGGTAGTTGTTTGATTGCCCCATTAATGAGACTTCTGAACACAAAATAGAAATTTTGAAGCCTGGAAACAGTGAGAGTTTCTGTTTTATTTCCAAATAGTAAGCCACTAATTTCTAATTTAATGTGGCTAATTTATTTAAATGGGATTCTTGCTGTCATAGAAATCACCCTTGTGTCCCCATCACTTCTATTCTTTCCAGGGCACTTGCTCCCTGTGGACCAGCTAGGCAGAGGGTGACTATCAGTAAATGTTCATTCAATTCAAAATATGTACATCCTCAAATATGTTTATGGTAGACATTCAGATGGACTTTAATTTCTCCAGACACAGAGCTTGACTTCTTATAAATGTTCAGCAAATGCTGGATAGGAAGAAAGAAATCTGAAGACTTTTTGTTTTTGTTTTTGTTTTTGTTTTTTTTTTTTTGGCTAAGCTGAAAATAAAGTATGTGAAATCCTTCACAAGCCATAAAGTGTTACCTAAAGGTAAATAGTATTATTAAGTTGAATTTTAAATTTTGTCAAGTGAATTTGACTCAGTCGGGGTGGATTCTCAAATTGACAAATCAGGGAAAAGAGGTCTTGGAGTTTAAAGGGAAAAAAAGAAAAGAAAAAAGAAAGAAAAAAGAAAAAACTACTGCTGACTATCATTTTAAATGGCTGGAGTTTAAAAGAACTTCAAAATATGTGGAGTTTAAATTTCCTCTACAGGACACTTGGGTGTAAAAATGTGGATGGATTAGTGCTTAGAAAAATATTAAGCTTTGTGAAATCCAAAATACTTATGAAATAGTTCAATGGTGGCTTCCCACAAATGTACTGCAAGTATCCTGCAGGAATAGCTTACTAACCCCGGCCCCTCTCTCAGCGAAACGGTGGAGGAGGCCAAATCTGGGGTGCTCCCCTCTCACTACCCATCTACGTGATTCCTCACGCAGTATCTTGACCCTTTATTAGTTGCCATGCCAATTTTAAAAGGAAACTGGTAAAAAGACTTCTTGCATAATCTTATTTTCAACATTTTAACTTATGAGAAGCAATCTCTCACCAACTCTTGTCCATTGTCTTCCTGAGTCTCTCCCAATGTCTTCTCTTACTGAGCACCCTCCCCTCCTACCACCTGCCAGTGATTAGATGGAAGCCCCCACACTCCCATCCACATGCCCTCGCTTCATCACAAATCACTCAAGGCTCCCAGAGTAGAACGGTTAAAAATCTAGGCCCTGGATTCAACATAACTGAGCTTTCCATCCTGCCTGCATTTGCATTCTTAATGTCTATGGGACTTTCTCAGGTTTGTTCATTTACATGAGTCTCAATTTCCTCATGTGCCAATGGGAATATTCATAATATCTCCCATACAGGACTGTCGTAAGGTTTAAATAAGGGGTAAAAAAAATAAATGAAATGCTTAGCACAGAACCTGACATACCACTATAACTTAGCAAATGTTATCTAATGTTGTTATATCATTATCTGTACCTTCCACGGTAATCACTGAGGAACAATCTGATGATCTAGTTGCATTAATGGGATAGGACAGCTAGGTCATTCCCTCCTCTCTTAGGCAAAAGAGACCTCTAAGAAATAGGCACCCTGCCTTCTCTGTCAGAGCGAAGGCCTGCGTCTAAGCAGACACACTGCTCAGTGCCAAAGCAGATGGGCAGAAGGAATAAGAGACTTGAAAGTTCTTGACACAGGGCTTAAAAAGATGTCACGGAAAAATCACTGGACTTAAAGTCACAAAAACTGGGTTTGGGTCCTGATTCCCCTACTTACAATGTGTGTCACTTTTGGCCAGTCAAAGGACTCTTTCGCCAATAAAGACTACATAGCCCTTTGGCTTTAACAACACTGAGAAGGGTTATTGTTAGGCTCAATAGAGACAATGTTTCTGAATGTCTTCAGCAGATGAAGTAAAGACGTACTGCAAGCAACACATTGACTCTGCTCTATATGTAGTTTTGATCCAGGTAAGTCCAGGGTGGGACTCAGAAAGCTGCATTATAAACCAATACCTCCAGATGATTCTGAAGCAGGTGGTCCATTCTGAAGCAGGTGGCCCACCCATGGAGAAACACTGTGCTGTACAAATGTACAAATGAAAGACACTGGTATTATTATGCCTCTGTATGAATTTAGACCTGGGTTTATAAGGAGGTGGGATCCTAGAACTCAGGTATCATGTGAGCAGAAAAACTGACCTTTGTAGTACAGATTACGGTTAAAGTGTATCCAGAAATGGAAAGTTTAGAGAGCGTTCATAATCTGCTTGGGTGATTTTTAGTATTAACGTGTCCCAGTGGAGATGAAAAGAACCAAAATGTTTCAAAAGTGTTAACTAATCAAGGAAATTGGTAAAAGATAAAGGGAAACCAGAAATGTTCTCAGCACCCTCCCCCTAGTCAGACTTTATCTTCCGCAGTCCGCATTGTACCTCACAGCCTTCCTTGGGCTCGTTATTTACTCGTGTACCCATCGTTTCTGTTAGACCCAAGATCTTGGGGATTTTCTCTCATTCTTCCCCTCCAAAGCCTTGGGTTTAGAGAATATGTTGAATTTGAGTTTGAATCAATCTTAGGAAATTCAGTCCTCATCCTTTGAGAAATTTTATCCCCATCCTGATTTTGCAATAGGTAAACTTTTCAACAAATAGAGCTGGAAGTCCAAAAAAAAAAAACAAAATAAACTCTTTTGGTAGAAACCAAAAAGTGGTCATTCCTGGCAGGCCCTGCCATACGCAACTTGCCCCATAGTAGTTATGCACTCATTCCCCGAACCTGAAACAACTTTCCTTTTCTTTTCTGTATTTCGGTGCCCTTTTTAACTTTCATTAATCTTTATTAATCTGCATGTATGGGTATGTGTGGTTTTTTAATAATCTGTCTTGATCCCTTTTTCAAATGACAACTAAATAGATATACGTAAACAAATATAATTCTTTGTATAACCTTCCTTGTTCAAAAAAAGGATTTGAAGTGACTTCCTAAAAACACATATTAGAATAGGATAGTTTTGTAATATGCAGATGGCTCCCAGGTATTGCCAAGAACTTAGAAAAGTCATTTCTATTTTCACAACTACATGTAAATGTAGTTTTATTTAATATACGGTAAATCAGATCAGTTGTGGCACTATTGAAGTACTGGTACTAGAACTGTATATGACTGGGGATTTAAAAAAAACTGTTTTTTTTTTCCATCTGACCCACCCATTTATATCCTCTAAGTCTCCGCAATGGAATTATCAATGGCTACTAACCCTAAAGTGTCTTCATTTTAAATTAGCAGTTATTTTTTACCTTAAGGAAAATTCTCCTTTCTTGTTCAAATCATCTTTCTAATTGAGGGGACACAACATCTGAGCATATATGACAGCCATGTAATGGACCTTACTTCTCCAGATTGCCCTGAAATAACATCTAGACATACCGGTTAACAAGTGAATAGCTGAGTCTTTACCTTTTAGTTATTAATGCCATTAACACTGAGAAGATAAAAAAGTTTTGGAGATTGATGGTGGCGATGGATGAACAATTAAATGCATTTAATACCATAGAACTATATATTTAAAAATGCTTACAGTTGTAAATTTTATGTTATGTATATTTTACCTCAATTAATAAAAAAAAAAAAAGAAAACTTAACAATGGTAGGTATAAATCAACCCAAAAACTTGAGAAGTAGAATTTCCTTTAATTTTACATAAATTAACACAATTTTGTTGTAAACTTGATTTTAGTCAATTAGGATTTCACTCCTTTTTCCCATAGTAGGTTATGAGTTCTAATATTCTTTCACAGTGCTGGGGAATTTGAGGTGGAAATGGTCCTTATTCCTGTAGGCATATGACCTTTTCCATCATTTCTCATCCAATGGGGGATTTGGGAATCATTTCGTTGCTTCTATTCTCTTTGCCTTTTTTAGGTTTGCTAGAGGCCAGTCTCCCAAGGTGGTTTTAGGAGCACACTCTCTCTCAAAGAATGAGGCCTCCAAACAGACATTTGAGATTATAAAATTCATACCATTCTCAAGATTTAAATCAGATCCTGAATCAAATGATATCATGCTTGTTAAGGTATGTAGCATTGCCTGCCTTTAGTTTCTCCAACATTCTTATACAATATAGTTCAGCTGTTAAATCATCTATACAAAAACACTTTGTTAGCACTCTCTTCATGTTTGAGATGACTGTGACATACTATATAAGGGCTCATTTTAACTCCATGTACTGCCTTGAAAGAAACAAGAATTTATTACAAATGCATCAGGCTGTGTTAACACAAGAAAAAGCAACTCTGATGCTCACATATGTGGGAAGGAACATCCTAACAGGCCTAAGGATCCAGATCAAAAGCTTTTTCCCCAAATGCTTTTATCATTAGCAAATGAAAAATACAAGTCATTTATATAACAGAGCCAACCAAGTGACTTCAGGGACACAGAAGTGAGTTACAACTTAGTCTAGACCATACTTAGTCTAGTCCAAACTTAGTCTAGACCATACTCAAGGGTCCTATCCAGCAGGAAATAGCCCAACCCTCAAAGTCATGACCTGTGGATGTTATTCCACAGAAAACCATCCAATGCAGAGCAAAGGCCAGTTTACTTGAGACTGAACAAAATTCCTGCTCTGCATAAGTTCCCTCTCCAAACATCACTGAACTCCATGGGGAATGGAGAGCATGTTCCAAAAAGCAACAACCATGAATTCAGCTGTGAGCTACCACCAAAGAAGATTCAAGAAGAGGGACGCCCTCCTAGAACAGAAGGACCACACATGGATCACTCAGGCTAATAGCAGAATATTATTGGGGACGAATAATAATTTATTCTCTTTTCAATTTGTCAGCTTCACATGGTCGCAAAACTTGATAAGCACGTCCAGCTGCTCTACCCAAGCACCAAAAATTCTATTAAAGCTGGAACAAAGTGCCAAGTTACTGGCTGGGGCACCACCGATCCAGAACTTTTCCACCCCTCTGATACCCTGCGAGAAGTCACTGTTACTATCATAGATCGAAAACTTTGCAACTCCCCACGTTATTACAACCGCAATCCGATTATAACTAAAGACATGGTATGTGCAGGAGATGCCAAAGGCCAGAAGGATTCCTGCCAGGTAAGAGCCTATCACTCAAAGAGGCATCTCAGAGAGCTGTTCTATAGTCAAGGCTCCATTTGCTCATTAGCTCAGAGGAGAGGCATGGAATACACAAAATCACAGTTCCTAAAAGAACTCTCCCTTCCTAAACAGTGTTATCTCTCATCTTTCAGTCTGAATGAATCATAAGAACATTCCCAACACATAATAAAGACTCATTAAATGCTTTCTAATCAGGATAATAGACTGTATCTGATGACTTGTACAGGCTTCCTCTGAGGGGTATTACCATCCTAGAAAGTCTACCAACTCTGAAGTCACTAGTGGCAATTAGAAGATAACTTCTCTAAGAAAAGAACCACATTTTAAATTAATAGAAAGGTCTTATAAGACTTAACTTAAAAAAGCTCAACTATATAGTGTGTGTTTTTTAAATCATGTCAACTGACTGACTCAAAGAAACAACAGTCATATTTTTCAAAATTTTGTCTCTTGGAGTACTAAAAAAAAAAATAGGTGTACATGATTACAGATGACAAATAGGTAGCACATAGATTATCAATATTTTTAAAAATTAGAATACAATATTTGCATCACACTATACATGTGATTATCAGGTAGAAGGTATGATGATTTCAAAGATCATGTGCATTTGCAGTGCCCCAGGATCATCATCTCCCGAACTTCTATTTTCAAGGCCAACCAGAGCATGAGGTACTGCAGTTTTCGATGGGAGTGGCAGCAGAGGCAAAGGCTACTTTTCATATTTGAAAGCAGCTCTTAATCTGAAAGGCCAGGCTGCCCCCTCTATGACCCTGTCACTTTCCTTGACAGAATTTTAGTTACATGTTTTATTATCAGAGTGAGTCCTCAAGAATCGGTTATTGAGCAGATATTTTCTAAGCGTTGTGTATGTGCAGAGCACTATGTTCATCTCTATGAGGATGCAAAACAGGGAGAAGCTATACAGAAGATAGAGCTCCTGCCACCAAGACATTACTGCAATACTCTTTCTGCCAGTCTAAATACCCACTTGATTTCAGATCCATAAACACCAAAATGAAATTCACAATTTAAAAAATTTCTTTTATTTCAGTGAGTTAGTTTAAACTTTATGTCTACCCATTCATTCCTTAATGAATAAAGTTCAATAGTCACTGATTACCAAAGAATGTATATGTATGGTCCTAGACAGAGACAGACAGACAGGAACATAGTCCTGGACAGAGACAGAGACACAGAGACCCTACACCAGTAAGGGGCTACATTGGGCACTATTCAGGACACAAAAAACCAAGGACCCAGATAATAATCTTTGAGTAATCAACAGGTGGTGGTAGAAAAAGTTCAACAACTTCTTACCAAGTATTTTCCCATTTTCTTCTTTCCAGGGTGATTCAGGTGGTCCCTTGGTCTGCAAAGGTGCCTTCTATGCCCTAGTCTCTGGAGGTCGTAAATGTGGTGTAGCCAAGAAACCTGGAATCTACACCCTACTTACCAAGAAATACCTGATTTGGATCAAAAGCAAGCTTGCCCGATCTCATGCAAACTGAGGCTACAAATGATTTTTTTGGATCTGCCAGTTGCCTGTTTTTTCGGCGGGGCGGGGGGCGGGTGTTTGTGTTTGTTTGTTGTTTTTCCCATAATGTGTTCTATAGGCTAACTTTATCTTCAGATGTAGCTTGATGGAGTTAAAGTGGAACATAGTTAGAGTCCACTCTTGCCCCTTATGATTGACTTTGTTATGAGTTCAAGTTCTCTTTCACATGTCTTACTGATGTATTTCTGCTATGCTGATTTCATTCTGAATAAAATTTAGAAGACTATCTGTCTTTTATGGGAATGAGTACGGCAAATGGCATATCCCCCTACTCTACCTACAGTCCCCAAAAGGGCAAAAGTTGATTCAACTAGACAGTTATGGCACCACCTTCAACTAGGTTTATGTTGTGATCTCTGCTAGATTATCCTGAACTGTATTTTCAAAATAAGAAACAGTAAATTCAAACACCCCAACTCAAGTTAAGAAAGACGCATAAAGGTTTGTACAAATATTTAGGATAGTACTTACCATTTATTCATGTCACACTTTGTTTCATACAGGATCTAAAGAAATGTACAAAAAATACCTGCAATAAGAAGTATGAAATTAAAAATAATTTTTTCTCAAAAAATTAAAAATAGAAATACGGTATGATCCAGCAATTCTACTTCTGCGTATTTATCTGAACAAAATAAAAACACTAACTTGAAAAGATGCATGCATCTCCATGTTCACTGCAATACTATTTACAATAGCCAAGATTTGGAAGCAACTTAAGTGTCCATTGATGAATGGATAATGAAATTGTATGGAATATTATTCAAACATGAAAAAAACAATGAAATCTTGCCATTTGCGGCAACATGAATGGACGTCGAGGGCTTTATGCTAAGTGAAATAAATCAGACAGAGAAAGACCAATACTGTATAATCTCTCTTAAAAAAAAAAAAAGACAAAAGCTCATAGATACAGAAAATAGATTAGTGGTTGCCAGGTGGGGTGTCAAATGGTTTAAAATTTTTTTAGTTACTTAATTAATTTTTAAAAAACAATAACTTGGTGAAGAAATTGAGGAAAGCCTGAAATGAGAGTAAGAAAGAGATGAAGACAGGAGTGTTGTTAACACCCAAAAGGCCATCATTTTCTTCCTATACTTTTGCTAGAAGAAGCCATATTTGGCTGTGTGTCTCACATAAGTCAGTGAAAAAAGATCAACACAGTCAGTTATATGAATTACAGTATCCAAAGATAAAAATAAATTATTTGCCCAAGATCACTGGTACCAGAACTGAGGTGAGAGAAAATTTCTTCCATGAACCTTTTAAGAAGGCCACTGTGCCATGATTCCAATGTCCCTACCAACTGCCTCAGGATCACTTGAGAAGATTGTTTGTAATACAGATGACCCTGACTCCTTGCCCAGAAATTCGAATTGAATAGGCTTGAAGCAAACCTGGAAATCTGCATTGTTTAAAAGCAGTTCAGTTGATTCTGATAAATGGGCAAATCTGAGAGTTACTGATAATGAACATTCTTAATAACATCTTACAAAAAAGAACAGTAAGTGTCATGAAATTGTTCATTTTATAAATGTTTCAGTGTGAACTGATGACTGAAAGACCAAAGTGTACTCAGTAAGTGTGCTTGAAGCTCTGAGCTGTCCACGATGTGGTTGTGCAGTGATTAGAATGGCAACAATTTCTGATTTGGGTGGGTGGTGGTGGAGGACAGGAAAGTCATTCAGGCTTTTCCTGCAATAGTCAGAAACCAAAGGGTTAATCTCAGCTTTTATATTTAATTTGGGTTTCAGAGGATAGTTTTCATTTCAAGGTGGCACCATCGAGTTTTCCTACGTTTCTATAGAATGGATGCTTTAATTCGCTTATTTGCTTGTCATGGTTTGTAGATAGCATTACTCTACTATGAATACTTAAGCAAATAAAAGCACTAGGTTAAAAAGTAACCTAATTAAACTATAGAACTGCTTTGAGAATGAAGTAGTAAAACAAAAGGTTCTAAATATTCCATTTTATGTCATTTTTGATTCATTAAAAACATATGATTATGACCCAGAAATTCTGAACTATATTTCATAAGAAAAGAAAAGAAGGAAATTATAAGGACTCTAGACTCACCATTAAAAACTAATTATCTATTCCATCTAAACTTTAAATCCATGAAACAAATCTAACAAAAAGACTCTTTAAATATTAGAAGGAGCAAGAGAAAAACAGATAGTTACTTATGAGAGAAAACCCGTAAGACTTACCGCTGATTTCTCTAAAGAAACTATGCAGGATAGAAGGGCTTGGTAAAAAATATTCAACAGGATGAAGACCCAGGATCTACAACCAAGAATAATTTACCCAGAAAAGCTATCATTTAGAGTTGGAGGACAGATAAAGAGCTTTCCAGACAAAAATAACCTGAAGGAATTTATCACCAAGCCCATATTATAGGAAATGTTACCGCTGATTTCTGTAAAGAAACTATGCAGGATAGAAGGGCTTGGTAAAAAATATTCAGCAGAATGAAGACCCAAGATCTACAACCAAGAATAATTTACCCAGAAAAGCTATCATTTAGAGTTGGAGGACAGATAAAGAGCTTTCCAGACAAAAATAACCTGAAGGAATTTATCACCAAGCCCATATTATAGGAAATGTTGGAGGGACTTCTCTAAGAAGAAAAAACATGTATCAAAAACAAGAATAAAGAATGGTAACAACTACATTCCTATCAATAAGTACCTCAAATGGAAAAGAATTAAGTGCTCCAACTAAAGGAGTGAATGAATGGAAAGGAAAACAAGACCTCTACATGTTGCCTATAAGAGACACTTCAAATTAAAAGACAGAGACTAAAAGGAAGGGATGGAAAAACATATTACTTTGATGGACCTAGAAGGTATTTAAGTCAGAGAAAGATAAACACTATATGATTTCACTTATATGCGGAATCTAAGGAATAAAAAGAACAAACTAATCAAAAACAGACTCACAAATATAGTGGACAATTTGGTGATGGACAGTGGGGAAAAAGTTTGGGGAGTTGGGAGAATGGGGTGAAGGGTTAAAGAAGTACAAATTAGTAGCTGATAGTCACGGGGATGGGGAGCAAGGCAGAGGGAATGCAGGGAATGCAGTTAGCATTAATATGTTGGCTACGTGGAGGGTCTGGGGAGGGAGAGAACAATTGGGGGGATCGTTTTATGAACTATGTAGATGTCTAATCAATGCACTGTATACTTGAAACTAATTAAAATAAATAAATAAAAATTTTTAAAATTGAATTAAAAACCCAGGGGAGGAAAAAAAGGACTCTTTAATCTAACAAAAGGACTATTGATTGCAGTTGGTCAGTATCCTGAAAAGTTGTCATTAACACCTGAGAACTGTGTTTTCAGACTCTATACTGTTCACATCCAATAGTCAAACCAGATGAGATTGCCAGAGAGGAAGCTCTTTCAACAGCTATGGCAGATCTGTGACTGTTAAATTGGAAGGTAAACAGTTTATTTTGACAGCAGTTAATGATGAAGCCCACAATTGAAAAGAATACCTCATTCTTTCAGGAAAGTAGTATTTTATTAAACATTTTGAAATCTTCCTAACATAGCCTAAAAGAACATAGATAACATTGTAGTTTGGGGAGTTCTGTCTTTGAGAGATTATTTGATTCCACCTAAGGCCTCAAGTGCACATTGAGAGTTGATGAGGCAAATATCGAAATTTTAAAATTGCTCAAAGGTTTTAGGAGAACATGGCTGGCTGTTGTTACTCTGAATTATCCCACTTTCTCCTTTCTTCGTGACTGTGGACAGAGCACATTTGCCTTCCCCACAGACATAGAAAAAGGCTTCATGCTTTATTTTACAACTAGTTGGTTTTAATAGAAAGTGACCGCACTGAAAACAATTAGAAAAAATAATTCTGCTAGAACCAGGTAGCAGAATTAGTCCTACCTTCCGACTCTCATAGTTTTTGCACATAATAAATCTCAGCTCACCCTGAAATGATAGAAGAGTAGTGCTTCGGAGCTTGATTTTTTCAGTAGAGGGCGATATACTCAGGTCTCTCCAAAAGCTTACAATTTCACAAAATTACTGAGGCACACCTGTAATGCTACTCGTATGAGTTATTTGAGTATCAAGTGCATACTGGCTGAACACTGGGTTCCTTGAGTCTTAAATGATTGAGCCCTGCTTTTAAGCTTTCACACATTGACTTCCTGTTTCCAAACAGTAACTTCGTCCGTCATTTTTCTGAGTCATATCAGTCAACTCTAATTGACAATCTTCCCTCATCACTTTTTATCCTCTACCATGAAAGGATAACGTTCATTTTTAAATATCTATGTAACAGCCCATTAGAGGCAGCATATGGGGTTTACAATTGAGGCTCCTCCTAAAAACTTAGAAATAAGTAAAATTAAATTTCCTTCTGAGAGTTAACATTTAAACTCCATACATATTGGGTCAGAGCAGAGATACACAAAATCACTCTAAAGAGACAGTGAGGTTCCCAAGCCTACAAGATTGGCTGTAATCTGCTTGAGGGTAAATAATTCTGAGTGTCGCATTTAGAAGCGGGGGAGGGGGACAGCTGAGGATACGGGAAAAGGAAGCAACACAGGTAGTGGACCAAGAAGAACTGACAGGAGAGGAAGGAAGTTGAGCCCCTTGAACTGCCTTCTGGTCCCATGGCAAGCCCATCTTCACTTTGGTCTAATTCCACTAAGCATTCAACTATTTATCTGGTCTTTTTCTAATTCCATGCTCATCAAGCAAACTTCTGTGAGCATTTCGTTCCCTGCAACAGTTCTCACTGCGAATGAATAAACATTTTGCTTTTCCACATCTATGATTTTTCTACCTCTAAGTGTGGGTAATTTGAATTTTTCATTGATACTCAGATCCACGTTTGGTGTGCTGAAAATAATCAAGCTTGTTTTTTTTTTAAATCAAGTTTTCATCCCTGCATTAATGAAGGTCAAATCCTGAACCTTGGTAAATTTACCAACATAATGAATATTAACTATCCCATGAGACTTTCAACAGATTGATAGCCTGCCTTT